AGATAGATAGATAGATAGATAGAGAGAGAGAGAGAGAGAGAGAGAGAGAGAGAGAGAGAGAGAGAGAGAGAGAGAGAGAGAGAGCTTGGTTGCCACAGTGTGACGACTACTTGAAGTCTTGAAGATCTCTGTTAAGTAGAAACAGAAGATGGATCTACCGTGCAGGGTGCTCTTAATTGCTACATGATGCTACAGTGAGTGCTACTTCTGCCAAGTGAAAATAATGCACACGGTGCTGAATTGAGTGGGCGACGTTGAGAAGTTCATGATCTCCCATTCGAGGTTGGAACTTCCATTTGGCGAAATTGACTGGCATCATGGCAAATTCTGACCATGAGTCTTAAGTTCCCCCCCTTCTTCATCGGGATAGACGGTGAGAGGGATACGGAAGAAGAAAAGAGGTATGAACCGGGTGAGAATGGAGGCACGCAGACATTTCCAGAGACAAGTCATTTTCCCAAGCGTGTGAATGCCGCACAATAAATAAAATTTAAAGACAAAAATAAATTCCACGGCACACGCAACTTCTATAGCAAGAAATAATCAAGGCAGATAAGAAGAAACAGAATTGATTTCTAATTTTTAGCTTTGTTATCTGTTCTATGTGATAACGTCGACAGAAAGTGTACACGTACCGCAACCACGACCAGTGTGATCAAGACAACAGCGCACAGGTGAGAATGCACAGCAACCACAGAACAGCCAACAGGTGAGTAGGTTAGCCAACACAACCACAACAACCAATTGTTAGCCTTCCTTTCTCTACGGCTGTACCATCTGCAGAACCAATGCAACCACACACAAGGACCGACATGCAGCACTACAGCAAATCGTGAAGCCGTACCGTCTGCCAGCACGCAAGTGCACAATCAACACCTCACCCACAACAGCGTGTCATGCATGCCTACGTGTCACCCCTGGAATGCCAACACAGCAGCTCTACAGAGTCTGCCACGTCAGCGTCAGGGACAGGAAGGTCTACGAGGGGTATGCCATGTCAGCAATGCACGGTCTGCAAACACGTACAACATTGGTATGCCACGTCAACTCAAAGTATGCAGCGCTTCATCAGCAGGCAATCACAACACATGTACGTGCCACGTCCAATCATGCCCTGGCAGTAGAGTATGCCACATCAGCATCCCCATGTCATGCCACGTAGGCAACGCGTCACATCAACGGTCCCAATCTTGCACTCTCTCTTTCTAGACCAGCGCCATGTCAGCCTGCTGCCAACGAAGCTCTCGCCGGTATCCCAAAGTCTTCAGTGTGTCCACGTCATCACCTTCAAGGGAGGCTGCACGCACGTGCAGTACTCAATGTCTAGACCTACGGTATTAACCGCGCGCGTTAATAAATGAGTTTCGTTCCCGCACGTCCGGCACCTCCCACTTACCTGGGTGCCACATCAGCACCTGACAACAGATCACGATGAAAGAGGTATGCTCTGATACCAAATTGTAATGAACCGAGGCTGGAAGATACAAGTCAGACGTCGAAGTACAGGTAGACTCAAATCTGCACAATGTCTTCAGTTAACGTGAAAGTGATATCTGATACAATATCTCGTTACCAATAGACGAAGAGAGTGGAGGGAGGATAGACAGAGGAGAGGGTGGAAGAGATAACAGTGACCACACAAGAGTAGCCCAGTCAATACCCATTCCTTCTTCGGGCTTCCTCTCACCTCCACGTCACCAATCAAAATACAGTAACAATTCTGATAAGTCTTGATCACATAGAAGTGCCACGTGGCACTATCATCTCGTGGAGACAATGAAGACAACAGCAGCACACGGTATCGACGTCAACCTTAGGTGAGTACCAATTCCCAATCATCCACAGATCCCGATTTCCCTCCTTGTCGCAACCAGTCACCTCATGTAGACAGCGTGGCCAGTGCCATGTCAGCAATAGAGACAGGTGGCATGCACCACATCAGCAATGTAGACAGATGGCATGTGCCACATCAACAATGCCATATAAAGCACTAATTCATGGAAAACTATACGAGAAACATGAAATAATTTATATACGGAACGAGATCATCCTGTCAAAATACATCGATTTCTCACTCGTGTCTTGTGCAATCAGACTCACATTCATTCACACTTCACACGTATGCAAACAGGTTGCGCAGCAAACTGGCGCCAGGCGCCCACTCAGAACTCAGAGATATAGTACCAAGAACTCAGTTCAGATACAAGTTCGCTTCCTCTGGCTATGGTGGCAC